AAAAAAAAAAGTCAATGGTGCACTATAGGAACTATAAATAATTGGTTTTCCTTTTACTTTTTTTCCCCCCTTTATTTTCTAAGATTATAGGGATAGTTTTAATTTGGAGAAATGCTACGGTGCCGTTCCGTCGTGGTTTGTAATCGTTAGATCTATCCTCGACGATTACATGATGATCTAACGGTTACAAACTCCAATAAAATAGTTACATAACGAGACCGTAGCATTCCCTTTAATTTGTTGCTAAGCTCCACCATCGCTTCAAATCCGGAAACAATAATTTCATATGTCGAACTGTGAAAAAAATCAAATAATAAAAAAGATTGAAATGATTGCAGCATGAAAGACGAGCAAGCCGGAGAAGTACCCGTGGCCTATGTTGTGAAGTCAAACGGTTCCACCATCACAGAAGATGAGATTAAGCAATTTGTGTCCAAACAGGTCCTTAAATTTTATATATATCAATTAATAAGAAAATAAGCAATTTATGTTTTTAAATTCAAATTGAAAGATTAACATCGAAAATGCTACGGTTCCGTTACGGAACCATTCCGTCGAGAATTGTAACCGTTAGATCAACTAACTCTGACGGTTACATGTTGATCTAACGGTTACAACTCACGATGAAATGATTCCGTAACGGGACCTTAGCATTTCACAATTAGCATATGCAAATGTTTTTTTTTTCACAATATCATAATTATAATAATGTTGCAGGTGATCTTTTACAAGAGAATAAATCGTGTGTTCTTCATTGACGCCATTCCAAAGTCTCCATCAGGCAAAATTTTGAGAAAGGACTTGCGAGCAAAATTAGCGGCTGGCCTTATTCCAAATTAAATGACATCACTACATCTTCACCGGGTCGGGCTGGGCCCCCAAACTCTCTACCATACTATCGTTTTTTATTGTCCTTTTAAAGCTACACATTTTGGGATTGGTTATTGTAAATTTTTTAACTAAAATGTGTAGAATTAAATATATGGGACACCGAACTCGTGCAATATATCATAATCTTGGCACTTTTGGCATAAATGTATAATTTTTGTTGTTGTTGTTGTTTAATTTTTTATTTTTATTTTTATTTTTTTATTTTTTTTTTTATTTTAGTAGAGGTTAAGTATATGTGGTTTGAATAATTTTTTTCCATCAACTATATCATGACTAATATGCTTACCTCACCCAACCACAAAGAAAGACTTACCTAACTTTGAATAGATCATATATCATATGTCTTGGCACCAATCTTTTTGTAGTGTTCTATTTTTAAACATATAACTTGTAGTCTTATATCTATATATATATATATATAATTGTTGGCATATAGCATTTAATAAAACATTTAATAAAACATCCATTCATTTTCCCGCTCATTTTTTCAATTAATGTAGAACCGTTACATTTTACATTAATAAAGTGTAATCATAATTTTAATATAATTTATTCACTACTAACACTAATTGATTACAACTTTACATTAAATAGTATGTGGAAGTTATGCAATTTTTTTCTTTAAAATACATTTTCTAAAATAAAATATTTTTGTTCTTTTTAAGAGATTTTTATATAATTAGTTAATTGACATGAGTGTCATAATTAAACACCCTAAAATCACATAAACGAATGTTATAACAATGATAAAAATAATTGTAATACTTTTCTAACTAATTAAGTGTATGGTCTCTCTAAATTACTAAATTATATTAGCCATTAAAATTTATGGCATCAATATAAAGATTCATACATAAGTTAAATAAATTATATTCACATTACACATTTGCATTTAGTCCAAATTTAAAATGTAATGCATCAATTATTTAATATAAAATTTGTATATATTGTATACATAAATATAATATATAAATTTTTATTTTTTTTTGTGCATGTGCACATGATGAATACTAGTATTAGACTGGTCCTGCAAGTTGATTCTTCTTGCATTCATATGTGTTTAAACAATGTAATTTATACGATCATGAGTCGCACTGAAATTTTATTGACACTGTTTGTTTGTTTGTTTTTTTTCTTCTTCTATTAGTATACCTGGACACAATATGACGGATCTAGAATTTTCATTCAAGACTTTTGATTTTTAATTTAAATAATGGGCTTTTAGTTTAAGCTGTAATGCTTATTTCATAAAAAAAAAGGTTTACTTATAGGTATATAAATATCAATAAGTGCATCGCCGATTCAAGTTCTACATTTAGAATTT